CTTTTGGGTCTAAATGGACTTTTGGAATGAAGCTGATGGATTTTGCTTTTCACAGTGGGAAGAATACCAGTACGGTGAAATAGGGAGGAAGGTTATAGTATTTTGAGTTTTTCTAGTGTTATATGTTCTTGTTTTATTAGCAGTTATAACTTTAGAGCAGCAACTTTATTTAAATATGTTGATATGAAATTTTTGTTTATTTTTTAGATGTTTATATGAATTGATTCAAAGGGTATATTTATCGATGTAATATATTTAATTAAGTATTTTAGTATTTTTCAATTTCCTTCTAATAATCAATTAAATTTTTTATTTTTAATAATTTTATTTGTAATACTTCTTTTAAAATGGTCACATTACATATATATTTCTTTTCTAACAATAAATAAAATTTCTTTGTTTTTAATAATTTTATTTTCATTACTTCTTTTAAAATGGTCACATTATATATATAATTTCTTTCTAATAATAAATTAAATTTCTTTACTTTTAATAATTTTTTTTGCTTACTTCTTTTAAAATAGTCACATTATATATATATATCTAATATTAAATATGTACGATTTAATAAAATCCATATCTTTTTGAGTTATTAACTTATTTTTACATTTATCATCTAAACAAGTTTCAGCTTCTCAAAATAATTTTTTTTACAAAACCCCATCCAAACATAAATCACATTATACTATCTGACTTTTATTCAATCTGACTTCTGTTAAAGTCATATTGAAAAAAAGTTACTTCTACTACTACTATCCCAAACACACTCTTACAAGTTAGAAGTCACAATTTAGAAGCTGTTTAGGACTTAAAATAATCACTTCTATATTTTATCAAATAAAATTCTTTTTACATATTTATATTATCATAAAAATATTTTCTTAAGCTAATTTAGCATACAGATTAATTTTTAATGTGCAATGCTTTTCTAATAAACCATTATTATGTAATTACTATTAATTAAAACTTCACTTGGAATGGAAACTTGTGGGACTCGCAAAAGCTTGACTTGGGAATGGGACGTGCTTTTGCGAGTCCCACTTGTTATCTATTTTGTAAGAAGTTTATATTTTATTTTATGCCTGCTATCTATGTTTTGATTTGTCTCTTCTAGTATATTATACTCCTCTAGTCCTATTTATAAGGCAAAGAGAGAAGGTTTTTTGGTCCTATTTATAAGTCACTTCATTAAATTTTTACAATGAATATACTATATTGTCCTTCATTTATTATAGTGTAGATAGTTATATTTTTTAAGGGTGTATATATTAAATAGGGGTAAAATTGAAAAGTTGTTATATTTTAATGAAGAGTTAATGCAGTTTAAAGTTTTCCTTCGTCTGTGTGAAACATGTTGGAAGTACTTTATAAATAGGACCAGAGAAGTATACAATGTTCATTCATGTTACTTTTAATTCCAAAATAATTGCATGCAATATTGAATGAATGTTATTATCTATTTTCTAAATATTTATAAATGGGTTCTTAAGCTCTGATTATCTAAATCTATTATAAAAATTCAATCAAAATATTGAAATTGTTGAGTAAAGTTCATAGATCCCTTTTTTTACGCAACATTTTCATAGCCCTCTTACGCAGACTATATCAGTTTTCCAATAACATGAAGAGAAAAGAAAAGGTGATCTTTAAAGAATGAAAGAAGAAATATAACAAAAAAACATGTATTTTATCTACTCAAATTGATATATGTTTGGTTGGTCTCCAAATATAAACAAAGGATCAAATATGACCATAATATATCTCGTAATGTTTTAGCAAAAAATAAAGCGTTGCAAATTTTGCTAAGGTTTCTGTTTATCCTTCTCTAATAAGGGGTGATATATAAAATACAAATTTAATTTTGATGGACACAAGATACAAATTGTGACTTAATAGTCAAGCATGCCAACTTTTTGCGTATTTCTGAAGACTACATATATATATTGACAAATATATATATTTGTTTGTTTCTTTGATGTCTCCTAGCTAACGTTTTTTTGGGGTAATTTCTAGTGATGGCCTACCAAACTTGACCACAAAATACATAGGAGTTGTTTCGTGTGAAATGGTGCATGACTTTGTGGTCTACTCACTTGAAGTCGCCAAAAAACAAAAAATAAGGTCTTTTGTCATAAATGTGTGATATTGATATCTATCTCCCTGTAATTATTAATTAAGTTGATTATATTAATGGCAGCATAGACTTAGAAGTTTGAAGTCACAATTTAGGAGCTATTTGCCTGTTTAGGACTTAAAATAATCACTTTTATTTTTATTTTTTTATGAATAATCACTTTTATATTTTATTAGATAAAATTGTTCTCATATATTTATTTTATATAAAAAATTGTTTTAAGCTAATCTAGCACTACACCTTAATTTTTAATATGTAATTTTTTTTAATAAACCACTATTATTAATTAAAACTTATAATTTAGAAAGGGGACTTGTGGGACTTGCAAAACTCATGCCTCCATGTGCTTCACATCCCATTCCCAAGTCAAGCTTTTTGCAAGTCCCACCTGTTATCTATTTTGTATGAAGTTTATATTTTATTTTACGCTTACTATCTTTTTTTTTTTTATTTCTCTCTCCAAGTATATTATATACAATATTCATTCATGTTACTTTCAATTCCAAAATAACTGCATGCAATACTGAATGAATGTTATTATCTATTTTCTAAATATTTATAAATGCATTCTTAAGCTCTGATTATCTAAATCTATTATAAAAATTCAATCAAAATATTGAAATTGTTGAGTAAAGTTCATAGGTTCCCTTTTTTACGCAACATTTTCATAGCCCTCTTACGCAGACTATATCAGTTTTCCAATAACATGAAGAAAAAACAAAAGGTGATCTTTAAAGAATGAAGAAAGAAATATAACAAGAAACATGTATTTTATCTACTCAAATTGATATATGTTTGGTTGGTCTCCAAATACAAACAAAGGATCAAATATGGCCATAATATATCTCATAATGTTTTAGCAAAAAATAAAGCATTGCCGATTTTGCTAAGGTTTCTAGTTATCCTTCTCTAACAAGGGGTGATATATAAAATACAAATTTGATTTTAATGGACACAAGAGACAGATTGTGACTTACTCCTCTGGTCCTATTTATAGGGTAGAGAGAGAAGGTATATTTTGGTTCTATTTATAAGGCACTGGGAGAAATTTTTTGTATGGATGTAAATTTTACCTCTTATTTATTATTGTGTTGACTTTGTTTATATGAGGTATAATGTATATTAAATAGGGATAAAGTTGAAAAATCGTTAAATTTTAAATGAGAGTTAATGAAGTTTAAGATTGTTCTTGGTCTGTATGAAATATGCTGGAAATGCCTTATAAATAGGACCAAAAGAATAATAGTCAAGGACGCCAACTTTTTGCGTATTTCTAAAGACTATATATATATATATATATATATATTGACAAATATATATATATTTGTTTGTTTCTTTGATGTCTCCTAGCTAACGTTATTTTGGGGTAATTTCTAGTGATGACCTACCAAACTTGACCACAAAATGCATAGGAGTTGTTTCGTGTGAAATGGTGCATGACTTTGTGGTCTACTCACTTGAAGTTGCCAAAAAACAAAAAATAAGGTCTTTCGTCATGAATGTGTGATATTGATATCTATCTCCACGCAATTATTAATTAATTTGATTATATTAATGGCAGTATAGACTTAGAAGTTCGAAGTCACAATTTCGGAGTTGTTTGCCTGTTTAGGACTTAAGATAATTATTTTTATTTTTTAACGAATAATCACTTTTATATTTTATCAGATAAAATTGTTCTCACATATTTATTTTATATCAAAAAACTATTGTTTCAAGCTAATCTAGCACTAAACCTTAATTTTTAATATGTAATGTTTTTTTGATAAACCATTATTATGTAATTATTATTAATTAAAACTTATAATTTAGAAAGGGGACTTGTGGGACTTGCAAAAGACTCATGCCTCCATGTGCTTCAAATTTTCCCAGTGTATCCCAATATACATAAAATTGTATTATTTACGTGCATTTTTAAGTAGTATTTTTCTTTGACCAAAATGATATTAACAAAATAAAATATCCATATAAGAGGAGATATTTAGAAGTCGTTTCTTATGAAGTGGAGTATGATGTCTTTGGCGCGTATGTTTCTTCTTGGCAACGTTCTTTCGGGACTCTCCCATATTAGACCAAATCAATGAAAATGAAAATTTGGTCTTCCATGTGATAGCAGACTACTTGTAGGTTAAAATTTATTCTCATCACTAATGTCATTTTCTGTCTTTTTCGTTGCATCAACTTTTCTTTTTTTTTTGGATGACTTAATGTTTGAAAATTCAACCACTAATATAAATACACACACGTTAGTAATTAATAATTTTTATCCTAACATTTTTATTATTTGCTTTACTCGCAAATCTTTTATCAAATGATAATTTCAATATTCATATGTATTAAAATATACACTGGTTGCCTTGAATAATTAGCTGCAAGCTTATAAAAATATGCGTAAATTGATTAATTTGAATTAACCACGTGTAATGGTAAAGAGGAATAATACAAAACACAAATTTCTTGCATCAATTTAGATTTTATGCATGGTGGCTAATTTGAGGAAAGGAACAACTGTCTCACCCAAAAATTAAAAACAATAGAAAAGAAAATGCAAAAATATTGAAGGAACAATGTATCCACGTACGCAAGCTTCTTTTCAATAATAAAAGTGTGGTCCCAGAGATGAATTTGTTCAACACGCAATGAAATTAAAGCGCAAAGCTTCTCCTAATTCCATAGCCGGCCACATGCGACCACAAGCAAAATAATTAATTTTTAGTTGAATTTCTTCTAACCTTATCACGAAAGATGTTCTTTTCCAACTACGCAATTTTTTTGATTTGGAATCAAAGAAGTATAAAACGTCGTGTATGTTAATTCCTGGATGCAGAATACTTGAGATTTTGATAAGTCTGATATGCTACACGTAATGGGAAGACCTTCTTCCTTTGTTTTCCTCTTCTTACTCCATTCTTTCATGGCCTCCTTAGCTTGGAGTGATACAAATATCACTACCGACAAATCTGCACTTCTTGCCTTTAAATCTTTTATCACTTCAGATCCACACAATTTCTTAGCTAATTGGTTTGTGTCTTCTTCTTCATGCAGCTGGATTGGTGTCACATGCAATACTCGTCACGGAAGAGTCCACTCCTTGAATCTTGGTGGCATGGATCTTAAGGGTACCATATCTTCACAACTAGGAAATCTCTCATTCCTTGTTGAACTTGACCTTAGTGAGAACAATTTTCATGATCAAATACCAAAAGAGCTAGTTAAATTGCGTAGATTGGAACTACTCAATTTGAGCTGCAATGACTTTCATGGGCCAATTCCAACATGGATTGGAGATTTATCTTCACTTAAGCAACTAAATCTTAGAAATAACAGTCTTAGTGGATTTATTCCACTATCTCTATCCAATTTGTCAAGGCTGGAGACTTTGGATTTGGCTAGTAATTCCATTGAAGGGACCATTCTACTTGAGGTGGGAAGACTTCTGCGATTGAACATTTTACGTCTTGCAATTAACAAACTTTCAGGAAACATTCCCCAAACAATTTCCAACTTATCTTCGCTTGAGTTATTGAGTTTGGCTTATAACAAGCTGTCAGGTATTTTTTAAAATTATTTTTAATATTCATATTTGTCTTTGTTCTAAACTAGCATATTTGGCCAGCATAATTTTACATCCTAGGGGAATCTGGGTTTCTCTTGATTGTCTTTAATTTTTAATTTTGTGTTATTTTTATGATTTTTTTAAATATTTGCCAACATTTTTCTATTCTTTTTCAAAGGGAAAAAGCCATTCGTCATCAGAATCATTAGTATTACCTTTTTAAAAATAATACTGTAGTTGTGTTTAATCATTTGGAATATAATTTTGTTATTTTTAAAAAATGTGCAAGTCTTACTGTATTTTTTTAAAAAAAAATATAAATTGTCTCATGTACATAATAACTTGTCATACGCAAAAAAAGAAATTGTTATTAACATTACTTTCTTTTTCCCATTAATATTTTAAGGAGACATTCCAAAAGAGATTGGTGATATTTAACAACTAAAAATATTGTATCTTTAAAAAAATAAAAATAAAAATATTATATATTGGAATCAGCTTATTGATTTAATTATATGATTGCATTAAATTAATTATATTCCAATATTTCATCAGACATCAGTGAATAATGAGTTTGCTAAATTGTCATCTAGTTTCTGAAACGGTTAGTAAAGTCATAACACAGGGAAAAAAGAGTATTGTTATAATTTAGTCCAAACTGATTTATGGGCTCATCGTCCGTCTATGAAATTAAATTTTTATTATTTTGCTATTAAAAACTGTCTACAGTTTTTATTTTAAAAAATGAGTAAGTCTTGCAAGAAACATATTTGGAACATTTAGTTTTTGTTTTCTAATTTTTTATATTTTTGTGCATTTCTTCTTATTTTTTCCAGAATTTTTCTATTCTTTTTTAATTAAAAATTCGTCCTCCAATTTTTAAAATGGTTGGGGAACAGAATATAAGTCCAAACGGATCTAAAGGGTCATCATCAATCTTTGAAAATAAATATTTACTATTCTGTCATTAAAAAGGTTCTGAAGGATTTAATTTTTCAAAGTGAGCAAGTCTTAGAAAAAAACGTAATCGGAACATTTAATTTTGTTTTGGATAATCTAAATTAATTTTGTAGTGAACAAGAATTATTTTTTCTGGGAGTCTCATGATAAAAAGCAGGGGTCAATTGGATTTCGGTGTGTTTCTCAGCTTGTTCCCTCAATTTTCATTGAAGAAACTCAATCTGAATTAATTAATCCATAAAATCTGAAAAGATAACAATGATAAATAATCTAACTCGCAAAAAACAAACTAAAAGAAAGCAGAAAACACTTTTGCTCAAAAAAAAAAAAAGAAAGCAGAAAACACTGGGTATTGGCCTCGTGGAATAGCCCAGTATGTTCTATGGTCAATGGCTCAGCCAAATGGAAAGGGTTATTACTTTTTATAAATAATAATTCTAGTTGTGTTTTATCATTTAAAATCAATTTGTGTTATTTCTCAAAAATGTGCAAGTCTTACTATATGTGTTTTTTTAAAAATACAAATTTTCTAATGTGCATAATAACTTATTATAAATAAAAATTGTTACTGACATTATTCTTTGTTTCCCCTCTAATATTTGAAGGGAGCATCCCAAGTGAGATTGGGAATCTTTCAAAATTGAAGAAATTGTATCTTTCAGATAATCAACTTGTTGGTTCAATACCATCTTCATTATTCAACAATTCAGTGCTGCAACACTTTTCACTTGGAACAAATAACTTATCGAGGAGTCTCCCAACAAATGTGTGCGCTGGGCTTCCAAAACTAGAAATGTTTTTGGTGAATGAAAATGATATGTCTGGTGAAATACCCTCCACTTGGCATCAGTGCACAGAATTATTAAAATTACAATTGGGTGATAACAAATTCAACAAAAGAAGCATACCAACTGATATTGGAAATCTGACCAAACTTCAGTTGCTAGATCTTGGCAACAGCAACTTGCAAGGTAAGAATTTTAATGATTATATGATTGTCTTAAATTTTGATAAGTCACGAATTTGCATTACAAATTTAATGAATAATACTTTTATTAGATTACTTCTAAAGACATGGAACTTGATTCTTTCTCTTCATCCCAAATTGAAATACTGAATCATTGGAAAATAAACTAATCAGCATTTGCATAGATCATATTCCTTCTATTCTTATTTTTCACTTTCTCTTGTGTTTTCTTGTCTGTGTCGATCACATATGTTCTTATGACATGTAAAGGGAATATATCTCAAATAAAATTAGAAAAATATTATCTACTAATATTATAGAATGATAAAACATTATAAATAGTATAAAAGCGGAATCTTATATGTAATCTTATATATAATATGCTTGTTCTATGATGTTTGCAAAATATTTTAGCTGAAATTGCTTTAAGAGTGATGAAGATTCTAGTATACATGATATGTTTTACACAATCAATTTTTCTTAACTAATTTGCATCAGGAAAAAGTTATGTTGTTCTACACAGGGTTTAGAAAACTTAAATGCAAAATATAAATAATTTGGTTGTTCGTTTTAAATAGGTGAAATTAATTCCACCATCTGCCTCTTCTGCCTCTCACATTTCTTCTTTACAAGACATTTTAATTTCGAATTATTTGATATTAGAAAATCCCCTTTTAAATTGCTTTCCAATAAAAACTAAATTATTTACTAATAATTTTAAGCCTCTAATTAACACAACTCCATGCATATCCATAATGAGGTTTAAATATAAATAATAATTTACAATCCCAAAATATTAAAAGATCAAATTATGAATTGATAGTAGCCTATTATTTTGGTTTTGGTTGAAGATAGTAGCCTATTATTTTTAAGGCAAGTTCTTGACTTGTTATATTTGAGTATTACTTGAGGTTATTTGGTTATATTTAAGGCAAGTTCTCAACTTGTTTTTAGACATGCCAGAGTTAGTAATATATGAAAATTTTTCTATGGTAGGACAAGTTTAATACTAAAAGCTGAAAAGTTTGCAGTTGTGTTTTTTCTTATTTATTAGTAGCAGAATAAACATTTATTTAAATAAACTAAGTATAAAATATCAATTGTGAATAATTATAAAGAATTCAATTTGAAAAATTTAAACGCAATAATAATTCAATAAACACAAGTTCAACCGTAGTTGAGCTCAAACTAGTTGAGAAAAAAAGCTCATAAAAAAAAATGAGCATATAAGATGTTTTAAATAGTCTGACAAATAATTAAATTGTTTTATTTTAAGTCATTCATATTGAAGTGGAAGTATTCAGTACATTCAATTCTTTACAAAATTAAATAAAGCTTTTCACAAAAAAAAAATTCCACTAATAGTTTCTTAATAATTATTTTAATTTGAAATTTAAAAGAAGTATGAAAAATCAACATGAGGGAGAAAGTAGGTGGGTAACACCAAAAAAAGTTGTGGACTCATTAAACATTATGTGGAACTTTTTTGTTCAGAATTTCTCACTAAAACTGCACACACACACACACAAAAAATCCTTCATGCAGAGATGAATTGCTGAAAAGTATTCTAATGTCTTATGCTGTACTTGATTAGTTGGTAATGCATAAAAATTATAGTTAAACTTAATGCACTCATTTGCAATATTAAAAGGAAAGAAATTTGATGGTTAGAGGAAATTTGCTTTCTCCCTTTTTGGTATTTATGAAGTTTCTTTTTTATTTAATATATATTATATGCAAACAATATTACAATGCCAAAATAAAAAAAAGGTAAGGTCACGGACTGATGGCACCACTTGATATCTAAAACATCATTTATATACTCTAATCAATAAAATGGCTCCAGGAATCATTTCTTCGTTACAACAATTTGTAAGGTTATAGTTTTAATTATATGATTTGTCTTAGACCGTGTTGTGTGTTTCTGTTTTTTTTTTTTTTTTCCATCTCTCAAATGAAAAATAATTTTAAAATGAGATTCTGCTTTTCATTTTTTTCATTCATAGCAGAGATCTTTGGAAAGAAATAAAATATAAATTGGATCATTAAAAAAAATTGGGGAAGCATTGTAAGAACTGGTTTGGAAAAACTTTGTGGACTATCAATATATAATATGGTATAGTAATCTTCAGGAGTACCTCCCAATTTTCACCCAGCAAAAATGTCTTTAAAAAGAAAAATAAAATTTAATTTTGGATCAGTAGAATAAGTATGTGTTCGCTATCAACATAATGTTTGTTTTTATTTGATGAAAGGAATTATAATTGAAAAAATTTCCTAATACTTCCAATTCTCTCGTCAACATATACATAACTCGTATCTTATCCGCTTTTAAATTGAAACAGGTGAAATTATATCCTTAATTTTATGCTTTATCTTCAAAATGTGTAACTAAAAGTATTTAAATTCCTTAAAGAAAAACTAAAATTTCTGCCCTTTTTTTGCCTATGATGAATTCATCCTCAGATTTTAAAGTTAGAGCCTTTTTAAATACTTTGGATGTTCATTTTACATTAGATAAGATTAATTTCATAGTCTCTGATGTGCAGCAATTGGCCATTAATATTGAAAGAGTCCCCTTTAAACTACGGTCCAACAAAAAATTAAATTATTTTATATTAACTTTAAGCATGTAATTACTAAAATTCCATGTATTATTTATTTGCTTGTGTACGTGTGAATTTATTAGGAACATCCTTGCCATACTGCCAACTAATGAACAAATATTTTTTATTTATTTATAGGCGAAATTCCTTCATTTCTTTGGAACATGCGTTCTTTGAGACGTGTTGACCTTAGCAAGAATTATTTAAAGAGTAATTTGTCTGAAGAAATGTGTCATCAACTCCCTTTACTCGAAGTCTTTGATGTTGGTCATAATCAATTAGAGGGAAGCATTCCACAATCAATAAGTAACTGCACATCTTTGAAAGAATTATATTTGGGTCCTAACTCATTTACAGGTATGTACTTATTTATTTGTGTGTTTTTTTCTTTTTAATATTTTTCCCTCAAATGAGATTTTGTTTTTCTCTAAAATCCCAATCATGGACGTCGTGCAATTTGCAACAGAGAAAAATGAAATCCTCACATATGCTAATGATGACAAACTCCAAACCACCCAATACTTTTTTATCAAGATTTTTTTCTGTCTTTTAATTACTTTAATTTTATTTTTTTCTCTTGTATTAATATTTAAATAATATTAAAATACAGATAAGTTTGGAGTTGGTTTTACTTATTTATTATATATAATAAATTGTAACAGTTCAACATTGTTTAATTGAAATTAAATTATAATATTTTAAAAATTTACAACGTACTAATTAAAAAATGTACAATAAACAAAAAATTTTTAGATATGTATAGAAGATCAATTACAAATTATACAATAAATGAAACTCATAAAATGCTTGTTCATCCAAATTTAAATGCAATATACATACCTATTATATGCCAGTACCTTTTTTAGATTTTATCTGTTTCCTAACAACTTTAATTTTATATTTTTTCCCTCTCTATTGTAGAGTACATTTTTTTATCTGTTATGCTTCTTTTTCAATTTCTTATTTTTCAAATTCATTAATTTCAAATTAAACATTTATTCAATAATTACAGTATAAAAACTTTTATTTTTCAAAAGCAATACTAGTCATTTCAGATATTTCACCAAAATTTCATATATACAATATGGGATCAGATATTTATTTACTATTTTTTAAATTAAGAGTCTTAAATCACAATTTTATATACCGGAAGTTTTTATTTATTATTTTTCCTTCATACAGTCCCAAAATAACAGAAAGATAGGATCATGACCTCATCAACTGAGTTGATGGGCCCACTTCAAAAACAGAATTTCTCAAGTACTCAGCGTATAATGTGCCCACTTGTCCACATGTAATTTTTTATTTTTCAAATTTATTAATTTCAAATTAAATGATTCTTACCAACAAAAAATTAAATAATTTTGATAATTTTTTATTTTAAATTTTTTTAAAAGAGTTGAAATTAATGTAAAGAATACTTTTTCTTTTGTATTTTACTCTTCCGAATTGAAATGAGTATTACTTGAAATTCTTTTGTTATATTTAAGGCAAGTTCTCGACTTATTTGTAGGATGGGATAAGTTTGATACTAAAAAGAGAAAAGTTTGCAGGTGCGTTTTTCCTTATTTATGACAATAAACAAGAAATTTATTTAAATAAAATAATTATAAAATATCAATTGTGAATAATTATAAAGTGGAATTATTCAGTACGTTCAATTGATAATAATTATCTTCAACATAAAACTCTCCACTAATAACTTCTTAATCATTATTTTATTTTAAAATTAAAAAGAAGTATGAAAAATCAACATAAGGGAGAAAGCATGGGAGATTACATAAAAAAATGTCGATTCATTAAACAGAGCAAAGTATACTTAATAATTTTTCACTGAAATTGCACAAAACAAATTCCTTCATTAGAGATAAATTGCTGAAAGAGTAGTCTAATGCTTTATGCCGTACATGATTAATTAGCAATGCATAAAAGTTATATAATAAACTTAATGTACTCATTTGCAATATTAAAAGGTAAGAAATTTGATGGTTAGAGGAAATTTGCCTTTTCCCTTTTTAATATTTATGCATGGATTAATCAGTATAGCACACATGTTCAAGTTTTAGAAATTAGTACGTAAGACACGTGAAGTTTCTTTATTATTTGTGTATGTTATATGCAAACAATATTACAATGCCAAAATAAAGAAAAGGTAAGATCGTGGACTGATGGGACCACTTGCTATATTTAAAATGTGAAAAACAATTTTTTTTTTAAAATTTAGTCTTAATCTACCACATCATTTGTATACTTTGATTAATAAAGTGGCTTCATATATACTTTGTCCAGGAATCATTCCAAGTGAGATTGGAAATTTGACAAACCTCCAAGTCCTTAGTCTTCGTGAGAACATTTTGCAAGGTAAGAATGTTAGTTATATGATTGTCTTAGATCGTGTGTGTTTTTGTTTTTTGTTTTGTTTTTGTTTTCATCTCTGGAATGAAAAATAATTTTAAAATGAGATTTTGCTTTTCATTTTTTTCATTCATGTTAAAGAATCATGAGAAGCTTACTAAAGAGTTTACGCTCATAATAGAAATCCTTGAAAAAAGAAATAAAATATAATTTTGGATCATTAAAAAAAAAATACATATAAGTTTGGGGTTGGCTTTACTTATTTATTATATCTATAAATTGTAACAATTCAACATAAATTATAATATTTTAAAAAATTATAACGTACTAATTAAAAAATGTACAATAAAAAAATTATTTAGATATGTATAGAAGATGAATTACAAATTATACAATAAATGAAACTCATAAAATGCTTGTTCATCCAAATTTAAATGCAACTTACATACCTATTATATGCCAGTACCTTTTTAAGATTTTATCTGTTTCCTAACAACTTTAATTTTATATTTTTTCCCTCTCTATTGTAGAGTACATTTATTTATCTGTTATGCTTCTTTTTCAATTTCTTATTTTTCAAATTCATTAATTTCAAATTAAACACTTATTCAATAATTACAGTATAAAAACTTTTATTTTTTAAAAGCAATACTAGTCATTTTCAGACATTTCATTAAAATTTCATATTTTCAATATAGGATCAGGTTTTTATTTATCATTTTTTAAATTAAGGGTTCTAAATCATAATTTCACATATTAGGGGTTTTTATTTGCCATTTTTTCTTTTGAGAATGTTTTATTTGCCATTTTTCCTTCATACAATCCCAAAATAACGGAAAGATAGGATCATGACCTCATCAACTGAGGTGATGGGCCCACTTCAAAAACAGAATTTTTTAAGTACTCAGCGTATAATGTGCCCACTTGCCCACATGTAATTTTTTATTTTTCAAATTTATTAATTTCAAATTAAATGATTCTTACCAACAAAAATTAAATAATTTTGATAATTTTTTATTTTAAATTTTTTAAAAGAGTTGAAATTAATGTAAAGAATAATTTTTCTTTTGTATTTTACTCTTCCGAATTGAAATGAGTATTACTTGAAATTCTTTTGTTATATTTAAGGCAAGTTCTCCACATATGAGGGATAAGTTTAATACTAAAAATAGAAAAGTTTGCAGGTGCGTTTTTCCTTATTTATTACAATAAACAAGAAATTTATTTAAATAAAATAATTATAAAATATCAATTGTGAATAATTATAAAGTGGAATTATTCAGTACGTTCAATTGATAATAATTATCTTCAACATAAAACTCTCCACTAATAACTTCTTAATCATTATTTATTTTAAAATTAAAAGAAGTATGAAAAATCAACATGAGGGAGAAAGCATCGGAGATTACATAAAAAAAATGTGATTCATTAAACAGAGCAAAGTATACTTAATAATTTCTCACTGAAACTGCACAAAACAAAAGAGATAAATTGCTGAAAGAGTAGTCTAATGCTTTATGCCGTACATGATTAATTAGCAATGCATAAAAGTAATATAGTTAAACTTAATGTACTCATCTGCAATATTAAAAGGGAGGTAAGAAATTTGATGGTTAGAGGAAATTTGCCTTTTCCCTTTTTAATATTTATGCATGGATAATCAGTATAGCACACATGTTCAAGTTTAGAAATTAGTACGTAAGACACGTGAAGTTTCTTTATTATTTGTGTATATTATATGCAAACAATATTACAATGCCCAAATAAAGAAAAGGTAAGATCATGGACTGATGGGACCACTTGCTATATTTAAAATGTGAAAAACAATTTTTTTTAAATTTTAGTCTTAATCTACCACATCATTTCTATACTTTGATCAATAAAATGGCTTCATATGTACTTTGTCCAGGAATCATTCCAAGTGAGATTGGAAATCTGACAAGCCTCGAAATTCTTTAGTTAATATTATGATTGTCTTAGATTGTGTGTGTGTTTTGCTTGTGTTTTGTTTTTTTGTTTTCATCTCTGGAATGAAAAATAATTTTAAAATGAGATTTTGCTTTTCATTTCTTTCATTCATGTTAAAGAATCATGAGAAGCTTACTAAAGATTTTGCATTCATAATAGAAATCCTTGAAAAGAGAAATAAAATATAATGTTAGATCATTAAAAAAATTAGAAAAGCCCTGTAAAAACCGGTCTGAAAAACTTTGTGGACTATCAGTGCGTGGGTGTGGTATAGTAATCTTCAGGGATACCTCCCATTTTTACCTCAGCAAAAATGTTTTAAAAAGAGAAATAAAATTTAATTTTGGATCATAGAATAAGTATGTGTTGGCTATCAATATAATGCTTGTTTCTATTTGATGATAGGACTTGTACTTGAAAAGATTTCATAATATTTCTAATTCTCTCATCAACATTTACGTAACTCTCGTATCTTATCTACTTTTATATTAAAACGGGTAAAATTTCATCTTTAATTTTATGCTTTATCTCCAAAATTTGTAACTAAAAGTATTTTAATTCCTTAAAGAAAAACTAAAATTTCAGCCCTTTTTTTTTTTTTTTGCCTATAATGAATTCATCCTCAGATCTTAAAGTATAGAGCCTGTTTAAGTACTTCAATAACTATAATATAGAATATAAATACTTTGGATGTTCATTTTAGATTCGGTGAGATTAATTCCATAATCTCTGCTCTTCAGCAATTCTTCTTTGAAAGAAATTTAACATCCAATTGGTCATTAATATTAGAAGAGTCCCTTTAAACTACGGTCCAACAAAAAATAAATTATTTTCTACTAATTTTAAGTATCTAATTACCAAAATTCCTCGTATTATTTATATGCTTGTGTACGGATGAATTTATTAGGAACATGCTTGCCATACTAACAAGTAATTAACAAATATTTTGTATTTATTTATAGGTGAAATTCCTTCATTTCTTTGGAACATGCCTTCTTTGAGAATGATTAGTCTTGGCACCAATCATTTAAAGGGTAATTTGCCTGAAGAAATGTGTCATCATCTCCCTTTACTTGAAGTCTTTGATGTTGATGATAATCGATTAGAGGGAAGCATTCCTCAATCAATAAGCAACTGCACATCTTTGAAAGAATTATATTTGGATATTAACTCATTTACAGGCATGCGCTTACTTGAGTGTTTTCTTTTCTTTTTAATATGTTTATGTAAAATGAGATTTTGTTTTTCTCGAAAATCGCAATCATGAACAAATGGATGTCTTGAAATTTGTAACAAAGAAAAACAAAATCCTCACATATACCCTTTGATGACAAAACTCCGAACCATACAATACTTTTTTATCAAGATTTTTTCTGTCTCTTAATTACTTTAATTTTATTTTTTCTCATCTTAATATTTAAATAATATTAAAATACAGATGAGTTTGGAATTGTTTTTACTTATTTATTATGTATATATGAGTTGCAACAATTCAACATTGTTTAATTGAAATTAAAATTATAGTATTTTAAAAAAATTACCACGTAGTAATTAAAAAATTTACAATAAACAAAAATTATTTAGATACGTATAAAAGATCAATTGCAAATTATACAATAAATGAAACTCATAAATGCTTGTCCAACCAACTTTAAATGCAACATACATACTTATTATATGCCGGTCCTTTTTCTAGGTTTTATGTGTTTCCTAACAACTTTAATTTTATATTTTTTCCCCTAGAGTACACTTTTCCATCTGTTATGCTTCTTTTTCAATTTTTTATTTTTCAAATTCGTTCATTTCAAATTAAATACTTATTCAATAATTAACAGTACAAAAATTTTATTTTTCAAAAGAAATACTAGTGTAATTTATGATTTTCTTAATTTTTTTCATTCTAAATTTTACAAAGACTTGAACAAATTAAAAAAAAAATTCTTGGTACATTTTACTCTTTTGGTTGAAATGAGCATTACTTGAAATTTTTTTAAATATTTAACGTCAATTTAGAATTATTCGTAAACATACCATTTAATAATATTTGATAATTTCTGTATAATTAGGTCCTTAATATAAGACCCTGTTTGACTTTATTTTGGTCCTAAATATAAGACCCAATCCATTGTCTCTCATATTTATCCCTTTTTTTAAAATAATCATTCTACAATGATAGTTCTAATCAAGACACTTGATTAGCAGGATATTTTAGAAAAGACAACCCTATTTAGGACAAATAACTAACTCAACTTACTTCCCTAATCTCCTCAAATTAGTCAATTGGCTCTTATAATTAGGACCGGAGGTAGTATTTGATAATTTCTTCTTTTCTATAACACACACAAACACATGGTAACAACTCTATCATTTAATTAAAATTAAAATTATATCGACATTTTTCTAAAAGAATCACAGCATATGAATTAAAAATTTGAAATAAACAAAAGATTTTTTAATAGATATAAAATCAATTACAAATTATAATATAGAAATCAAATAAAAATTTAAATATAACTCAAACTGATGAAGAATAATATAAGATATTTTAATTGTTCAACAAATAGAAGAACTGGTCTGCATGTTGTGAAATTAAACAAAGGTTTTCCAGCTAAAGTTTTTCACATGTTAACTTCTGGGGGATAGGATAAAACTGCCGAATAAGTAGTTTAATGCTATAGGCAACACATGATTTATTGGCAATGCGCAAATAACTAATAGCCGAAGCCAAAGCAAACACTCAAGAAAATCCTAGCATACAACTCAACATACCAGTAGAACAACAAAACAACACTTAACAAAGAACAACAAGCAACAAGTAGTTAGACAATACCAGATAAAGAGTCACAATTAGAAAGCTCAAGATCATGCTCCAGAATATGAAATAGAAAGGGTGGTTCAGAAAAACATCCTTGTGGTACCATTCCTTTCAAAACCTCTGCTGCTAAATAATCAGTAGGTCTACCGCCCTTGTGAGAAACCCAAGACAGGGAACAATTATGCACAATCAATGAGATTTTAAAGGAATTATATTGAATATTAACTCGTTTTACTTTTGTATGTCTTTTTTTCAAAGATTTTATCTATCTCTTAATTACTCTAAGTAGTTAGCCAATACCAGTCCTAGAAAGCTCAAAATCATGCTGCAGAATATGAAACAAAAAGGGTGGTGGTTCAGAAAACCATCCTTTTGGTACTACTCCTTTTAAAACCTCTGCTGCTAAACAGTCAGCAGCTCTATTGCCCTTGCCAAAAACCAAAGACAAAGACAACTTTGAATAGCTGCTTAGCATGACATCTTCACAGCTCAACTCGCATCCCTTGAATTCAGAAGCTCTCAATCTGTGAAACAGCTCTTGACAATCAGTGTCAACTATCACCTTCTTTTCTTCCACCTCTCACTGCAATTTAAAGCTTCCAGGATTGCCAAGGTTTTGCAATAAGAGCTGAATATGCCTTAACCTTCATTCCCAAAAACCACCAACAAACACACCATTCTCATCTCTTCCCAACAACCCTATAGAAGCAGCCATATCAAATAACTTGAAAGAAGCATCCAAGTTCAACTTGATTGCTCCATTCTCAGGTGCCCTCCAAATTCTCGCTCTTTCAACACCATTGCCCTCCATCTTATGTCTCCCCCTTTGTTTTTGAGCCCCATCATAATCTCTAACTAGCCTTAACACCCTTGCTACACATCTAATAGCATCCAAAAATATGCCTGCACCCAGCTTTCCAAATTTTCCAGCAGGTGGTAGCAAAAAGAGTGATACTAAAATCATCATGTCCCATCTTTTGATTCATCGATTCCTCCATCCACCTGGCCACATCACACATCTTGATTTATTGAATCTTAGTGACAAAGGTAACCCAAACCAACATCTCTCAGCCCTTAGACGTAAAAATAAAGCATGCTTAATTGATTCCACCTGACATCTACAAATATCAGGTAGGTGTACTAGAGTATTTTCTTCTAAAAAGAGCTTCCTTGATGGCCAAAGCTCCACTCACTACTTTCCACATAAAATGAGCTGCCTCAGGAGGGATCTTCAGCCTCCACAATTGATTCCACAGCTGTTTAGATACCTCCTGGATCTCTCAATCTTCCACCGTCTTCTCTGCCTAAAGTTAGCTACCCTATACCCCAACTTCAGAGAATAATTACCATCTACTTATCATCCAAAGACACTTATCTGCCAAATTTGATCCAGCAGTATTAAAAGAGTTAATGAGAGCTTTATCTTCATCACTGAATCAATCTTTCATTGCTTCAAAGCACCAAGAATTATTCCTGATTAAGCTCTTCACAGTCAAACTCTCTTTTTCTTCATCCAAATCTCTGGAAGCCAATGCATACCCATTAGCATCAGGAATCCAATTGTCACAAAAACTCTGATCCTCTCTCCAGTCCCTACTCTCCAACAAAGATCTTTTTTAATTAAATCTCTTCCTTCTAAAATGTTAGACAACCTGAAGAGTATCTCTAACCTTGCTTTGCTTGTGAAAAGTCACTATCCGAAAAATACAAACCCTTTAAAATCCTACACCATAAAGCATCTGTATTTTGAACCAACCTCCATGTAGTATTAGCAAGGAGAGCTTTGTTAAACAACTCTAGATTCCTAAAACCCATTCCACCTTCACTTTTGAAAGGCTTAGCGAACTCCAAGATTTCTAGTGTATTCTACCTTCTTGTTCCCTCTGACCCTACCAGAACCTTGCCATGCTATCCAATTCAAACAAACCTTCTTTGAAAATCTGAAACAGGAGATAGGAAACACAGGTACTGTGCTTGCTACTACCTTAATCATCACTTCCCTCCCAGAAAACATCAACAACTTGTGTTTCTGTCTCTGTAATTTCAAACTAAACTTGTTTTTAACAAACAAAAGAGCCTCTGACTTTGACTTTCCCCATCATTGGCATTCCCAGATATTTACTAGGATTATCACTAGTTGCTTTAAAGATCCAAACCTCATATACTTTCCTCTTAA